GGGGGTATGGGGTTGGGCTCCTCCCCTTGGTGACCTTGCTTAGCAAAGCAGATTAATCGCTGGAGTGATAGAGAAGACGGGATAGTATGGTGTAGGAGGGAAGACGGTGGTTGATAATCTTTAGCATCAGAGGAAGAGGTGTATGGTTCAGGCTGCTGGCTGTGTGTTGGGCTGTGTGTTCTGTGGTTATTTTGGAAGAGTTTCTTGGGATACTCAGAAATATGAACAGCTGCTGGCCGGTGAGGAGAAGATAGCATAGCAATAGTACACAGCAATAGGCAGACGGCTGGGAGGCGCATTTGTGCTGCACAGTGCACACTGCTTTTCTGCTGCTGATGCTGTGCAGCAGCAAAAGAAGTGCAGCTCTGGTAGGTGACCTCGAGTCAGTTTCAGACACCAACAGTTGTGTATAGCATGGCCAGGGGGCGAACAGTAGGTGGACACTTTTGTACGATATGGACTTGCTCCAGAGTTTCGTTTGGGTTAACTAGCGATGAGGAGGTGATTGTCATGTGCTCAGGGATGTGAGGAGGTGTGTTGATGTATCTTCATTGCATGTCGGGCGTGTTCCCAGAAGAGTCTTATGAGCAGGAAGCAGCGCTTCTGTGCCCGCTTTATGCCTCCTCCTCCTCCTCCTCCTCCTCCTCCTCCTCTGTCTCATCCTCATCTGGTCTCTCAATGTCTCCTCCTCGTCTCATTTACTTTTGCTTTCTCTTCCCGATCCTCTTCGTCCTCCTCTTCCTCCTCCCCCTTCCCCTCCATCTTGTCTCTGTCTCTTCCATGTCTCCTTTTCCTTTTCCTCCTCCTCCACTGCCTTCCTCCTCCTCCTTCTCCTCCTCCTCCTCCTCCTCCTCCTCTGCTGCTGTGTCTGTGGAAGATGTTGTCACTCTCTTTGAGAGGAGTGTTTTTTGCTGATGAATCCTGGTGTTGGGTGTCAAGAGGTTCAGGACCTCTCTGCCTATATATGCATATGGGTGCTTCATTTTATTCACTCCTGCTCGCTCATGTGCGTTCTCCCTTCTACGTGTCGTCTTCTTCAGTTCTGACTGGTTGATCCGACAACTTCAGATTCAGAGGAATGCTTAAAGTTATGACTTGTGACATGTTCTGGATGGTGATGCCATCAGTTTTTAACTTTTTATTTTGTTGTAACCATACATTACATTTGGGGAGGAACATTTGAAGTATGCGAGTGGTTGGTGTTAGGCCGTCAATTAAAGTCTTTTGCTGTTTGAGAAAAAGCTTTTCTCGATGTCATATGAGCTGCACATTTCTTTTAGCGGAGCTGGCCTAGATTGCCAGCATCTGTGGGTGGTTGCGAATTTCATAACATGCATCGACTTAGGGCGTATTTACACTGGCACTATCGGAACTGTATCTGACTGCATTTAAGGCCGGACCTGTATGCATCTGACCACGTTTCCATCCAGAAACAAGTAAAAAAAAGTATGCCCTCGTTCGCCCATTTTCGTTATGAATTCCTCTTTGTGTGGAAAGACATTTGACCATCTGACCACTGTGTTTGATGAAACGGATTCGCTCGAAAGGATACAGAAAAATGAGAGAAAATTCAGGTGGTCCCTGTGAAATAAATTTTGAAATAAATGACATGCATTGCATTATTAAAATAAAATAAAATAAAATAAAAATCTGGTATTGATGAAATGGAGTGCTTAGGAGTGGTGGTAGGTAGGTAGTGAAATGCGAATTTAGAGAAGAATATAACTTGGCTTTACAAAAAAAAAAAGAGGAGACAAAAAGCAGTGCTCCCTCCTTTATCTAATCATCATCATCATATCTTGTCGACCTAAACGTCCGACTTTTCTTTTTGGCACTTGCGCTTATTCCTGAAATTGAAGAAGGATGATGACCTTGAAATGTCATCATAGAACTGACCGGGCCGAGGTTACTCAAAAGTTGCACTATTTTACTCACCTGCCTCCAGTGGAGTTCGAACTCCGCACCTGGTCTGTATTCCAACCATTCGTTCAGGCAGGGGTGTCCCAAAAGAGCAAATCTTACCTTCGTTTAATGCATATTTTTGAATTTTCTGAAAGCTTCTTTTCGTATTCGTTGTGCTAAGGAAGAGGTAGGTGTCCACTGCGGTTTTCTGAGAATGTGGCGACGATGACTACTGCGTTGCATGCATAGCAATCAAAGTGCGAGGACTGAGCCCTCGCGGGGCGCTTATCAGACATGCAAGTGTTCTGGGCTGCGGCCCCCAGCAAACCTTGTGCCCGCCCTAAGTGGACGCGGGCCTGAATATCCACGAGAGGCCAAGTTTGGGCCTTGTTTTCCCTTTTGTGAAGTTATGTCGGGTATCAGACAGTTGCAGTACGCCAGTTGATTAAAGAGCAACGTGAGCCTCTCCTGGTTCTTCCCAGAAGAAGCAGCTGCAGCGAACAGTTGAGCCTTGGGCTTGGGTGGTCGTGCCGTGAGCACACGCAATGTGAGGCCGACACATCACGTAGTGGCCGCGGGCCAATGAGAAAGCAGCATTGTCGTCACGCATCGACCGCGAGCCAATGGGAACGAGGCAAACACTTGGGATCCTGGAGGGCTGCCTGGATGTGCCCAACTGTAAATGGCCCAGGCCCGTAACAGCGAAGGGGAGCCTGGGCGCGGACACTGGGGCCCGACTGGGAGCTAGTGGGAGCTTGCCCCGCCAGGCCCACGCAGCCAGACACAGGGCTGCACTTTCCATGAAGGAAAGAGCCCTGCCCCGGCAGCGGCATTCAGGCCTGAGCAGCCAATGCGGCGACGCTGCTGTGCTGTCTTGCGATGCTGCGCTAAGCAGCCAGGCGCGGGCGGTGAGAGGGGCAGCGGGTGCATGGCGGCCATAGCTGGGCTGCGGGTATGGAATGCAGGTGATGGTGGTAGTGGTCTTCGGGTAGGAGGCACGTGCAGGGGGAGTCAAGGTGTGACGAGGGGAGAGAGAGAATGTACCTGGTGTGTGCTGGCGGTCTGCATTGGTGATGCAGAGGCAAAACGTGGCGCATAGTGGGAATCGGCCCGGCCTCGTGCAGAGGGGGCATGAACATAGCTCAAAGTCAGTGTCCCCGTTAGCCGCTTGTGTGGGATGTACTGGTCCTTTCAACCACCAGTTGTGCAAATAATTCCTCCATCTACACGAGCATTCACCACCGACAAGGGTGCCTTCGCCGCCGGCGACTATGTAATCACGGGATCAGCCTCCCCTGATAATGATAATGAGAAGGTCGACAGAGCCATCGTAGTAGGGGAACCGAACGGAGGCAGTCGAAACGAATTGATGGCAAAGGGCGTGGCCTCTGCACAACCTGTACGGCTAGTGGGACTCGAACCCACAACGCGCCGCCACATCCTAAGTGTGGTGCGTGAACCA